CTAAAAACAAAATGCAAACATGTGATAAATGCACGTTCATGAACATGTTTTGTTTGGTATTCATACAATTTGTCCCGTGAATAAAAATCATTTTAAGTCTCAGGTTTGCCTGAACATATAATTTATCCTTTTTGACTGTGATGTCAAACAGTCACATAAATATATGTGTAAGTGATGTAACAAAATCTTGAGAAGTATAGAACATTTCCATTATGCATTGCGAAATAACACACAATTTTATTCAGTGTTTCGTAACACATTTTTGAAATATAGGTATATATACTCTTTATTTCCACATTTAAATGATTTACATAATTAATACAATCTTATAAAGTGAAAATAATTAATAAACAAATATACAATTTTACATAAATTTGACATTGGTGGTAATGACATGCATAACATATTGGTTAAGTACATATCAAATGCAGCTTGAAAATATAAAGTAAATAGCATAAACATTAAAATCAGAAAATTATACATAAACCAAAATTAATATCGAATAGTCTTGATTGTTTTAGTATATGAGTATTTACATTTTCATTATACATTTTTTAGCGTGTGATATACTTTAGATTCTTGTACAGTTATCACTGATGCCCTTATCGTATTTCCTTTCTAAAAACATAATTATGACAATCTACACGTATATTTAACATAGTGCTGTTAAACCATTTTCTCTACGAGATTAGCATATTGTTGTCACTTCACAAAATTAATTTAAACATTGATAAGATAGGTATATATTAAAGTTATTAAAATATGATTATCATAATTCTACGTTATAAGGCATGTCATGGTCTCGGTTGAATAGGATTATTAGCTAGTTGAAAAAACAACTGGTCACGTGTCCATCTGTTATGACACTTACACCCTTGTCATAATCAAAGGAAGAGCTCAGTTCTAATTGTATAATGGTACGTCATACACGGGCAATAAAATTTTATCTTAAACACCGTGTTGTTTTAATTTGAATTACTGATAAAAAAAAGCACGAATGGTACTTTATGGGGACTTTTGTATGCTCTTTTGGATCATTGCATTAGTTAGTCTCGCACATTTTTTACATGTATTTAATACATATAAAATCATACTTTACGTACTTACGGCTTTAAGTCATGCCAAAATTATTGTTTTCGGGGTGACATTGAAATTACATTTATAAAAGCTTTAAGTAAAGAATAGCACGAAAATATTAACCATAGAATTCACATTCACGTCTTTAGTGATTTAATAATGACACTAGCAATAGAGTATTTTTAAGGAAGATGTATGTATATCCTGGCCACGTGTTCACAAAGATTTAAGAATCAGGATCAAGATCAGGATCAAATTTAAAAAGTCAAATATTCTCCGCTGTCTATCCTCTTAGATTAAATATTTAATCATAACTTGATAAAATTGGACTTGAAATGGCATGTTTGTGAAATTTAAGAATAAATTTATTGTTATTTTCCAAGATATGGGCATTTTACAGTTGATCGAAATATTTATCCTGATCCTAAAACTGATCCTTATTTTGATCCAGTTATTTCTAATTTTGTTTTGTTATTCATTGATTTTATCCCAAAAGGGTTTTTTTTTCTTTGCACATCAGTATTTTTTTTACATTTTGAATAAGTATCTTTTTACTCTAGCAAAATACGATCAATTTTAGTTCTATAAAACAATGAAAATAAAATCAGAATCACTTGATCCTGATCCTGATCTTTTCTTAGTGAACACAGGGCCTGATGACACATTTCATCATTTCAGCACTATTATAAATGCAAGAGATGGTTAAATTCTTGTACATGAAGGTTCTTTAGTCCAAACCAAATGTCTCATTCAGAGTCTTTCTAATATGTTAGACCTTGAATTAATGCGTTAATGCAGAAATGTTGAAATAAATTACTTAAATCTACTATTACATCGGTTATTTATTAAAAAAACTATTCCAAACGAATGGTAAATCATATAGATTATATTAATTGTTAATGAAGTTGTTGAATACCTATACTATCTTTACTTTCGTTATTGTTTTTTGCCTTACGCAGAAAGCGCATGCGCGAAATGGTACTTCCGTTTCTATGGAAATATCGTTTTGTAAAAAGATCTATAATACACATTGTTTAATTTCAGTGTAATATGGAAATTATTAGATGGACTGCATGCTTTATTTAGATTTTCTACTGATTGTTTTGTGGGCTTAAAATCTATTTAATCACAGGCGGAAATGACGGCACATTTAGATATGATGAAAAACGAAATAAGTAAAACATGCATGGAAAAGGGAACGAAGAAATTGTCGAAGATGTATGATGACATGTTAAGGAAAAACAAAAGTAGATACATGACGGGTGAGACAGCTTTCAGTAACTACGAAGCTGACATGGAACAACTAAAAGAAGATTTTTTCAAAGCGAAGAAGTTATATGACCAAGATGTTGTAAGACTTAGTTGCTTCTTATAAATAATATTTTGATTCCTTGTACAAACCTTGCGTGAACTTTATTCGCCATGTAGTCATACATGCTAAAATAGATGAGACCTTATATTTTTTAGGTTTCTTTGTTCTTTTCATCTTTAAAATTCAATTTTAAGTGATAATTATATTGAAGCGAATATCTTGTCTGCGATTCGTCAAGTTTGCAATTTACTGCTCAAAATTGGGGATAGGGGAGCGGAGATTACTATTTTCTTTGTCTCTACCCCAAATTATATTACAATACGTTTGTTCCGATTGTTTTTAAGTGCAATAAGTTTTTAATTTATACAGTCTACCAACAAAGTATCACATAAATGAATGTATTTTACACTTCATCTAGAAACAGACGTTTTGTTTTCTTATACATTAAAGTTGTTTCAGTTAAATGTTAGATACCTTTAAAATATCTCATGCAAATGATTGATTCTTTACAGCTATATAAGTGTTTTGACGAGTTTACTAAGAGCAAATCTGATGATAAGATGACACTGTATCGCATTGCAACTGGACAAAAGAACAAAGACCAATACGGTACTATATTTTGTTGATGAAAAATCATGAAAGATAAATAAATATACACATTCAAAGGGTAAAACATAATAAGTCAACATAATTTTCAAGAGAATCAGGTTTCCGAATAACAAAAGATGTTCGAAAAACTTGTATCGACCCGTTAGAGTTAGGGCTGAACCTAAATAATCCTATTTTGTTTTTTCACTATAAACATTGGTCTTAAAGTATGCTCTTTTTTGACTAGCGCCAAATGCCGAGTATAGCGTTTTTTCTTCCACATAATATTATAAAAGGTAGTATAACTATTTTCATCAATATATTCTAGTCTTTTAAGCAATTGAAAAATTATGGTATGAGTAAAAATCAGAATACAAAAATTTTGGTACATAATGTATGGTGAAGAAAATATCCTTCCCATATTATGTGTATTTTTATCATTTTTATAGCAGTCTTTTTGTCACTATTTCTCAGATAAAATTCAAAATGAAATAAACAAGCGGATGGGATGCCAACTTGAGCGTATTCTTATGGAAGAGCACGGAAAAAGAAATCAATATCTGGAGAAAGAACTAGCAGAGCTAAAAGCTAATTATGATGAACTGAGCAAATCTGTCAAGAAAAGAAGCTTCTGTCCGATTATGTAAAGGATATGATTTGTGCTATTTTAAAGTTTTCGGAAACTAGTTTAATTTAACATATGTAAAGAAGAAAACAGATTAAATGTTTCAGTATTTGCGGCCAGTAATATAATACTTGTAAATCTTTCCATATATTCTTTTATAGCAATTCGTTTTAATAAAGAAATACTTTAATATTCGCCGCTTACGATCACGCTGGGATAAACGGTGGCTGCAATTCTGATGCCTAAGCCCTTAAAGGCAACTCCTCAGTCACAATTGGACAATTCGTTGGGCGCATTTTAAGTATAGAAAGTGTTTGGATATATTAACACTTGTAAATCCTTCATTCTATTATTTCTATAGCAATCGGGTTTCATTCAGAGATACTTTAAATTTAAATACAGCAAAGAAATTAGCACATTAAACAATGCCGTATATTTTTGAAGTTAATAATGTTTATAGGATAATTTTCGTCTAGACTAAACCAAAAGTTAACAATACACGAACTCAACAGTCTGTCAAAATTTTGTATAGCGGATTCCATTATTGAAATTATAATGTTGAGTACTATGTTTTAGTTTGTTCAGTTAATAACAGAGTTTTCAAATTGTGGTTTGTATGTTTCTCAGTTTCGGACGGTAAATTGAACATGACATAAATTGTGATATTAGACAGCGTATCACAGAACGATGTGTCTAAGTAAAACTTGAATTTAGTAATCATTGACATACTTTCTTCCCCGTCTGCCCGTCCTTTTAAGAATCTTTTTGGTATTCATGGTCGTATATTTAGGTGTAAGCATGCTGTCAGCCATATTAAGAGGCTAGCATAAATTGAGAATACCATACTTGTGGCTGATGTTATAAAATTTATCAGGCAAGGTTTAGAAAAAAAGAAGAGCTTGATATTTCTATAATAGTATTCTATTTATCATGTTTAAAGTTTAAATTTGCTAAATATTCGTTTTGATTCAACTTTGGATCAGTTTAATATTTTCAAACAAGTAAGATGCTATAAATATTCCGTTTTCTTCTTTTCATTTTAATGTTTAATAATGATAAAGTTTCCTATAAAGCTTTGGTGACTGATAGAGCTTAGATTTATTTGGTATGCAGTTTATCAGTAAAGAAATCAATATAATGACATGATACGCTTTTTAGAATCTACTTCAAAATCACAATTTACATATCATTTACTTATTCGCCAAAAAGAAAGGAACCTTTACATGTTTACAAACTGCTATACCAGTCTTTATGTAATCTAATAACTCTTAAATATCACCAAATATTTTCAATCACGGATGACAAATTTCCATGCATAGCTTCTTTTATCTTCGAGTCATTTTTAACCGGACTCTTTCAATGCAAAAATGGTTTTGATGTCACTTTGTGCTAAATATCACACCAAATCGTTCAATGACTTGTTAGTTTGACCAATATTAACGCAGTTACATTTTAAACTCATTTTATTTCTGCATATGATTTTCCTGTAAATAGTAATCATAGTGTTTTGATACATTTAAGTTGAATAATAATAGCCTGTGTATTATATACTTTTACACTTGTTATCCTCGTATTAGTATTCTTCCACTTTACCTTTAACATTGACTTTGATTTGCTATCATTTTATAAGTATTTGAATTTTAATATTATTTCATGTAGACACTTTTCTGAAAAAAGGAAAAAAAGAAATGTGTCACAATTATTTGCATGATCCATATTCAAAAAAAGACGAGTGTTTTTCGTTACAGGACAATTAATCCCCAGTTATACTTTTGTTTTCATTTCTTTAACGCTTTTTAATTTTATCGTCGTGTAATAGTTTCTCGTTTGTCATTTATCTGAATCATGATTTGCTTATTAGCATAATGGTTTTCAGAGTGATATAGTACAGAAGTCAAAATACCATTGTGTTTACATTTTTGCTTCTTTTATGACCATACATTTAACGTTACATTTCTCATGATAAGCTTCTAACATGCTCTTATATATTATAAAGGTACATTATTGCTCAGCATTTTTTTAAAATATTTTTTTCTTTCTTTAGAAAGGGCAAAAGTTTAAATAATGTTTTAAGAGTCTTAAACCATTATTTAAACTTTTGCCCTTTCTTAAGAAAGAAAAAAAAATGATTATGAGCAATAATGCGCCTTTAAAATATATACAGTAGATAAAGGGTCTATATTCTCCTATTTTATGCTTTTTATGTTGAGCTCGTCTATTTTTAATCATACCCGCAGTGTGATATGTACCCGCACTGGCCCGTGTCTTGAAAGTTGTTCTGTTATCATGATTTCCTTCGTCCGATGTCTTGTCCATATACACATTGAATATTTTATCAATACCTGATTTTAATACTGCAGTAATTCCATTAAAATTGTGTTTATAAACAATGTACTTTAAACTGTATTAATAGTTTCATAACAGGGGAAGTTTTCAATTTAAAGATCCTGTAACACAATAGTTTTACGGTTTTATATCATAAATATGATGCTCAAATTAAGATATATCAATATTGTAAGTTCCAAAAAAGCATTATTTATAAATATATTACCGACCTTAACATTTCATGTAAATAAAGGGAGGTAATTAGAAATTTAGTTTCTATAGTATAAGTCAAATGTTTCAATTAGAACGGAATGCATATATTTTAATGATTACATATAATGTGCAGATATGTAAGAATAAATTAGCTCTATTTGAATGTTAATTTTATAAAAGAAAGAAAGTGCCATGCTGAGCTATTCGTGCAGGAATCCTGTATACTTTACACATTTAATGTTGCTTTTATCCATATATTTAGTCAATTGCATGCTTGTATGGAATTAACTAGCATTTGTATGAATCAAAATATCAAAGCTATTGTCATGTTATTTTCAAACGTTTTAAGATAATGCAATATTATTAACAAAATTGTTTTCAAACATTTCAAGATAATGTAAAATATTTTATACAATTTTTTTTCAAACATATTATGATGTTTCAAAACTTATTAGAATGAAAGGAAAGTTTTAAAATATTGTTAGAAAAATATAAGTAGATCTAGTTGTTTAGAGAAAACATTGATTATTTATGACAATGCATAGCATTAATACCTAAAGGAACTCCACTGAGGACGAAAAGCCTAAATATATTTGAAATTCTTATCTAGGTAATGAGGGGTAATTTAAAGTGACACTATCATGTTTTCATTGTCAAGTTAACCTGAATTGATTTTATGTTTCAACAGATTGGCTATTCTAATTGTGATTGAACAACAATTGATACTTGAAAATGTTTAGGATAAGATATGTCTGCCTAAAATATAAAAAAGACTGCTCCACATTTTTTATAAAATGACATTACAAGCCCTTTGGCTACAAGAGTTATATCAACATTCCTGCAAAGTTAATTACAAAATTGAAAGGAATAATGCAAAACATAGCTTTATTTTAACTTGCACCTCTTCATGCATTATATACCATTGGATGGGTATAATGTCACTTTAAATAGAAAACAGTAACAGAGGAAAACAATATTCACAGAATTAAATTGAAATATTTAACGCTTTCAAGTTTTTGTTCATTTTGTTCTATTCAAATAACGTAGTGAATGAATGAGCTGAAATTGTGTACACAAGTTACATCTAATGGTTCACAAATCCCAGAAAATAATATCCCGTTATGTCAAAAATTTAGTGGAGTCCCTTTAACTAACAATTTAGTTAATGCATCAAAGGCATTGTGATAGCAAACAATGTTTTGGGTTTATAATCTGCACTTTAATTTGTATTGATAATATGCGTTGAACATGCTTTGCTTTCAATCAGAATAAACTGTCTCCTTTTATAGTTTCTTTTGTTTTCATGTCAGTAAATTTGAAAAATAAAAAAAATATGATAAACAAGATCAACAAGGAAAGGCGGCGTTCAATGAACGATCAACAAGATAAGGCGGCGTTCAATGAACGCAACCCCCACACGACCCAGCAACAAGAACCAGCGGCTAGGAGCCCAGGCGGACCCAAAACATAAACAGAACAGGACACAAGACAGAGCACAGACAGTTTAATCACTAAAATGATTAAATAATTTTAACTGATAAGGAATTCAAAGATTGAATAATAGGAAATAATTTGTAACTGATAAGAAATTTAAAGAAAACACATAAATGATTGTATAAAAGGCCCATAAAGTCAAAGGGCACAGGGGAAGGGGACAGGAAACCCGGGGAAGGGGGAAGTTCAGTGAAATAATCAAAAACTAGGGGCAAAGGGGGAGACGAGAAAACAACATAGGACACAAGCAAAAGTGTCACCAATACAGCATGAAACAACATAGACATACATCTGAGGAACACAGTGGGCGCCGCCTTGGCACGGTCAGCATCACAAGTACTACTGGGGAGTTAAACCGGTTAATGGTGCACCAAATTTCACACTTAGCCCCACCCTGTTCCTATAAAGGAGACAATGTAAATAAAATGAATCTCCGCCAAGTTAAATTCTAACAATTGTTATGGTTACAAAAGGTTACTTAAGTAAAACACCAAAATGATCATGTAGAAACATATAAAAGTAAACCCAATGACCATAACAAAAGTACTCAATGTCCTAAAGGAAGACAGTGGAACAAGAAAAACACCTATAACAGCACGAAGAAGCAAGGCAGAAAACGAACATTAAGACAGTTCAGTCCCAAAGGGCTTTAAGAACTGTCCATCATAGAGTCTCCCACTTAGTGCGTCTTCAGCTAAATGTGGATAATCAACTATACAAAAGTCAAAGTCATCTCTTTTATCATAGATTTTCGTGTGAATAGAATTGTAGTTGATAGTAAAATGAAGATCTAAAAATTATGAACTAAAATTTCAAGAGTTTGTTCTATTAAGTTGTAGTTCATGGGGATAAATGTCAGACACCATTTGATCAAAATAAGAATTATCTCAATTGAAAATAGTATCAGTGTATCTGGAAGTATTATTAAATGCGACTATAACATCTTTTTGTTTATCTTCAGAGAGACTTAACATAAAGTCTCTGTCAAAGCAGTCCAAAAACAAATCGGCGACCAGGGGTGCACAATTAGTACCCATAGGAATTCCTATGATCTGTTTAAATAGGGTATTACCAAACCTAACATTAATGTTGTCTATAAGAAAAGAGAATGCTCTACAAACTTCGTCACAGGTCCTCATTTAACAAAACCGTTAGTA